TACAAAAACAACTTTTTTTTGGCATAAGCAAGTGGATTTGAAATCACATCAAACCATACACAGGACCTGTGCTTCTGTCAGACCAGCCATAGATCAGAGGCTCCCAGAATGCTCCTTGCTTTCAGTTACTTTGCTAGAGTGGCTCACAGAACTCAGAGAAACCTTTTACTTACTATCCCACTGGTTTCTTACAAAAGGATACAACTCAGGAGCAGCCCGATGGGAGAGACACGCAGGACAAGGTATGGGGGAAGGGTGCGGAGCTGCTAAGCCCTCCCTGGGGGGTGCCGCTCTCCCCAGATCTCCACGTCCCCCACTCTGAAAGCTGTCCGAACCCGATTCCCATAAGTTTTTATGGAGGTGGTTTTTATAGCCATGACTGATTAAATCACTGGTCATTGGCAGCTGACTCAACCTTCAGTCCCTCTCCTTTCCGTGGTCAGTGTGACCTACCACCATGTGACCCACCATGTGGTTGGTTCCCCTGGCAACCAGCCTCAAACGCTTTCCAAGAGTCACCTCATTAATATAAACTCAGGTGTGGTTGGAAGGTGTTTGTTACAAATGTCCCAGTCAGGGCACGTCCCTGGGTTGCAGGCCAGGTCCCCAGTAGGGGCACTTGAGAGGCAACCACACATTGATGTTTCTCTCTGCTCTCCCTTCTCCTCTGTCTAAAAATAAATAAATAAAATATTTTTTTAAAAAACAACAAAAAACAGGTGTCTAGGGAAGGCATCATCCTCAGGGGACACTTCAGTAAAGGCCTGAAGAAGGTGAGGGGAGAGCCATGAAGGTATCTGGAAGGACCTGGTTTCAGGCCGCGGCCCTGGAAGCCGAGTGTGTCTGGTTGTTCCGGATCCACAAGAGCCCAGAGGTCAGGGGCTCCGACGCAGGGTGGCCCAGGAGAGCCAGCAGCAGGTGAGGTCTGTGGGGAAGCAGGAGGGGCCCTCAGGGAGGGCCTCACAGCCCTTGCGGTGGCCCCGGCTGAGCAGAGGGAGGCCGGGGCACAGTTCCGGTGTCCAGACCTCAGCTACCACGCTCCCCGTCTGTGGTGGCAGAGAGGAGCCTGCTGAGAAACCATTTCCCTCTTTCACACCTTGGACACAATTTCATGTTGAAAAGTTTTTCTTTCAAAAGCACACTCAAGCCTTAAAATAATTGTTCAAACCAAATATAGTTAATCTAGCAGTTGGACTTCTGAGTATAGACCCCAAAGAATTGCAAGCGGGGAGCCCTGCGGGTGCGTCCACAGCAGCACCATCCACAGTGGCCAAAAAGGGGAGGCGTCTCTTGTCCAACGGATGGAGAAACCAAATGTGGCCCACACATGCAGGGGGACATTACTCAGTCTTGGAAAGGAAGAAAATCCTGACACATGCTACATCGTGAATGAACCATGAGGTCATTACGCTAAATGAAATTAGCCAGTCAAAATAGACGAACACTGTATAATTCCACTTGTACGAAGTCCCTCAAACAATCAAATTCATACAACAGAGAGTAGGACAAAGGTGGCCAGGGGCAGAGGGAGGGAGGAATAGGAGGCAATGCCTGATGGGCACAGTTTCAGGTTAGGAAGACCAAAAAGTCCCGGAGAGCCACGGCGGTGACGGCTGCACAGCGACGTGCCTGGGCTGGATGCCACTGACCCAAATCCTTCAGGACAGTTACAAATGGTTAAAATGGAAATTTCATGTTGTATTTTCCCACAACTCTCAAAAATAAAAATAAATTCTTAACAACCAAAATACCAAATATATCTTATTCCCATGGATCAAGTACACCTTTTTTTTTTTTTTTTGGTCTCCGATAAAACCTTTCAACAAACAACATCAACAGCCATGAAAACATTTCGCAGTTTCTGAATCAGCCTTCAAAGCCGCAAAGGAGTTTGCGGGGCGGGTAGCAGGAAGCGGCTCTCCCGAAACAGAAGGAAAGGAAACGGTCTTCTCTGCCTGTCCTCAACACTGTTTACATAAAAATATTCTGCCCTCTGAGATGTTTTGACTTTTGGTATCCTCCTCCTAGGCAAGCCGGAAACCCTGAGAGTTAACATCTTTACTCTTTGTTTCCAAGCAACAACTGAAAGTCAGCTGTTGCTTAGAAAAAGAATTTTTAATTAGAGAGAGCACAGCAGGACACAGGACCTCAATTTTATCTCCTTCCCGCATCACCTCCCAGGCAGGAATGCACACTCCTGAAGTTACGCGGTTTTTCCCAGTTTGTTAAGCGCAGGCCGAAATTAAAGGTTCCTTGAGGTTTGGACACCCTTTTCCAAATTACCTTCTCTCCTAGAGATCTTCCTTGGACCCCAAGAAGTTTACGTTTGAGAAATAATTATAACACAAAAGTCCACTGAATTCTCAACTATCTCAATAGCAGTCTGTTTCTTTGACTGTATTTTAATTATTTTAATTGCAGAAACAACTCAGGGGGAAAAAAACCCACAATCCCTTTATTCTGTATTACCAATGAGTTTCTTTTTCATTACCTTCATTTTTGTCAAAATCACGCATAGTTAGTGATTTTAATGATGGTCTGAGGAGTTAGACTGCACTCCTTGAGGGCAGAGAATCCACGTAAATTATTTGGAACTCTCCTGCTAAGAAAACTTGCCTCTTCTCCTATTTATTCACTTCTTCAATACTTACCGATATTAGTATGAGCTCATTGATAATTATTTTTACACTTCGGGTTATAACTCCATACTACTTTATTTGGTTGCTCAAGTGGTACCAGCTTTGGCCATTGTGGTCTTAGGTGTTCTTGGCAGAAGAAAACAAAGCAAAACAAAAAAAAGACAAAACTGAGTGTGCAGGTGCCGTGTTGGGTTCCTTCCCCCTTTGAATTTATTTTGAGTAGCACCCAGTTTGCAGAGCCCATGTACCCCAAAGGGATGTCAGCACTGGCTCTCTGACCAGATGGGGACTTTACTTACCTTCTCTGCACCCCAGTTTCTTAATCTGTAACATGAAGACAATGCCTCTTCGCAGAGCTGAAGCGAGGATAACTGGGTAGTTTATAATGGTAATACATGCGCCACAAAGGAACAGGTGATTCCAGTTACACGAAGGCCCGGAATAGCCCAGTCTAGAGAGACAGGGAGTGGGACGCTGACCGCCAGGGACAGACGGGAGGCGGAGGGGGAGCTAGTGCTGAACAGGTGTGGAGTCTCGAGAGTCCTGCATGGTGGTGTTGGTGGCAAAACAATGCAGGTATTTTATTACAAGAAAGAAGAAATCCTTATTGTTGAAACTTTAGAAAACATTTTTTGCTTTAAATCCTTTGTAATCCTCAAACGCAGCGGCCACCTGTTTTGACACGTGTATCCTCTGTATACAGTTGGGATCCTACTCATACAATTTTGTTACACATCCCATCATATACACTTCCCCATGCTGTTCAAAACTCAGTAGCCATTTTTATTAGCTGCATAATATTCCACCGTTACTTATTTAGTCATTGCCGTATTGTTAGACAAATTTCGCAGCATTACCAATGACACTACAATGAACACGTCTGCATGATTAAATACATCTTGTTCCTATTTGGAAATACATCTCTTGGTTTATAATTTTTAGTGTAACAGGGATGTAGAATTTCAAGGGGTGACCACGTTTTAAGGCACATCATATAAGTTGTCCTACTTGGCGGAAAGGTGTTCTGATTACAACGTCACCAGCTGGGAAGACACTCGGTTTTAGGCACCCCTACCCGGTTGCCCACACTTCCTTCATGAAACCTTTTCCACCTCGGTAAATACGGTATCCCATTGTCCCAGCGTTGCCTCTTAATGTTCCTTGCCTGCGCCTACACCTGTTATATTTAGTGTGTTTTTAAATCAATTGTATAAAATTTTACGTAAAAATTATTAATCTCCCCCTTGCCTTTAATTATTGTCGAAATCTGTTGCTCTTCAAGGAAACAGTGGAAACATTTTAATTTTTGAAGTTCTTTGATTGAGAGACCGCAGGGTCGGTGGGGCGCGGGGACACTTGCAGCGAGGCCCCGAAGCGGCCCGCAGCCTTCCGCGTCCCTGGCCCGGCACAGCCGAGCCACCAGCGCTGCGCCCACCCCGACGCTGCGCTCCCGCGCGCCAGCGAACCCCGCCGCCTGGGAAGTGCCCCGGCTGCGTCTACGCCGGGAAGGGCGCTCACCCGAGGAAAATCCGCCCCCGTGAAAAGCCACATTCTTTCCCAAGGTGCCCAAGGGGGGGAAACGTGCCCCGCTCGTCTCGCTCTCCTCTCCACTACCCTCCTCCAGTTCGAGCTTCGCCGTCGGGGCGTCCCGGGCGCCCGCGGTCCACACCGAAGGCAGGGCTGGTCCACGATGTTCCGGGGCTTCTGCAGCTGCTCTCAAAACCCCGAGACCGCTTTAAAGTGGTGGACGCGGGATTCCCCTAAACCTGGGGACCAAATGGCTCACCCGAGAGCCAGAACCCCGAGGACCGCGGGGAAGCCCAAAGGGGTGGGAAGCATCCAAGGGCCCTCCTATCCTACACCCGACAGGAGAGGCCCTTCGGCGAGCACCCGCCACCCCCAACCCCCGAGAGCGAGCCCCCGACGGAAACGTCCACGGCCCCGCCCCTCAGTGTCCTCCTCCCCAGGCTTCTCGTGTCACTTCCCGCCGTCCCTTCCACAGCTTCCTCGTCCCAGCCCCTGGCGACCTTCCTTGGATTTCCTTTGTCCCTCCCCCCCGACCCTGGCCCCGGGCTTCCCTAGTCTCCCCTCTAGATGTCCACCACCCCACCCCCAGTCTCACGGCGGCGCATCCTCCAGGAGCTTTTCTTGTCCCCTCCCCTTGTCCGGCCTCCTCTGTCCCCTCGGGAGTATCTCGCGTGCCCTTCCCGCCCCCTCCGGTTTCCCTTGTCCCCTCCCCTCCCCGCCCCCGTTTTTAAACCTGGCGCCGAGCGCGCGGGTAGGTGAGCGCCCTCGCTCGAGCGGTTACAGGAGCGGCTGAGTCCCTCTCGCCGCTGGCGGGGCGCGGGCTCCGCGGACACCATGAGACCAGAGGCGGCGGCCGGAGCCCGGGATGCGCGGGGTCGCGTCTGCGACTGCCCCGCGGACCGTGCCCGGAGGCCACCGCCGCCGCGCGGGCCGGAGAGGTGAGGCTGTCCCTGCGGCCCGGTTGGGCGCGTCGTGCTGGGAGCGGGATGCTCGGACTCTGAGTCCCCGAACGTCAGCGCGACGCAGGGCAAGCTCCCTGCCCAGAGACAGGGACGCGGAGCCGCTTCGGTCCCAGCGCTCAGCCCTGAAGTGCGGAGGTCCGCGAGGTTTCCGCAAGGAAATGGGCCACCGCTTCCGCTTACAGACCTGAAATTCGCCCGGCGGGGAAGGGTGCTGTCTCCGGGCCCCTCGGCGAGCCTTGCGGGGGCTCCTCCCGTCACGTTGACTGTCACAGTCTTAGTGGCAGGCTTTGCGCTGTTTGAGGCTCAGCCGTCGCTGCCCCGTGCGCCAGCCCTTTTCAAGGCAGTAAAGTTTAAGAAAGTCGAATAGGCCGGGAACGTGTGGAAGGCGAGGCAGCCAGACAGGAGAAACCGACCCCCATTGTGCATTGTACCCGGCAGAACTGCAGGAGTCTCCGGAGTCAAGATCCTTCATAACCGAGCTGGTGTCGTTGGAATTAATGAGCGACAAAGTAGCCAGCTATGGGGGGCAGGGTGGAGGGACCTGAATTGAAGAGTCCAGCCAAGTAGGGAGAGAAATTCCTCAACTAATGTGTCCCCTGATAATTGTGTCAGATTTGGGACTTCTCAAAGCCCAGTCAGGGCAGAGAACTGGGGATGTGGCAGGCGGGAAAGACACACATGGCATTGTGTATCCACAGACAGGGGGCTCGAGAGGACGTTGTGGCTTGTCCAGTGACTCTTTTTTTCAGGCACACAGTAGAAATAAGCAGAATGATAACTCTTATGACATAATTTTAAAAGACAGCAGAGGATGCTGGGTTCACTCCTGGTCCCTGCCATTCCAGCCCGACACCATGGAGACCTTGGACCCTGATGCCCGGAGATGCTGAGCGGACCGGCACCGGAGGCCAGGTAAGGTGAGGTGTGGGCATTGTAGGTCTCCACCGGTTCAGTCAGAAAATAGGAGCACCATCTCTGAAATGAAGGGACAGTGAAAAGCCGCTCGGCCTGGCCGTCCGTGGGTCATCTCATGCAGAGGTAGCCTGTGGTCAGAGCCTGGTGAGCGGTTCGACCAGACCCAACACCTGGAGACAGGAGACTGGGCTCCTGCTTCCTTCTCCTTTCAGGAAAAGCAAAGCCACTGCAGCACAGCTGTGTCATGGGCACCGTAAGCAATCTCTTCTATGTCGGCCTTTCCCCCCTTGCAAACCAGTGGGCAAGCGCGGGGCCAGGAGAAGGCTGCCTCCGCCTCCTGCCTCAGAAGAAGGATGAGTGTGCCCTTCGCGCTGGACAGGTGCCACAGTGTAAATAAGGGCGGGGGCCAGTCTGGGGTGCCCAGAAGATGTGGGTAAAAGCCCGCTCGGGCTGTCTGGCTCTCTCTGGAGCACTTTCGACCCTGTCTTCAAGCACTGCTGGGATAACTCACACTGTCTGAGCACATCCACTCCAGTGGGGGGCTTTGTGGGCCACGATGAATGGCCACCGCTATTCTTTTGTTTCCTGCAGTGGAAACTGAATTGCTTGATACTTCCTGAAGTAATGACTTGCTTACATGGAATTTACCTTTCCTTGTTATATTTTAAAATGTAAATGGATGACCAAAACATGCTGAAGTTAATTAGACTAGTAAGGACCATGTATTTAATTTGCATCCCACATGTGGCATATGGCAGTTGTTTGTAATGTGATCAATTCAGGTGCAGAAAAGCAGACAGGCTACGTTTAAAAATTTTTTTAAATGTAAAGTTTTAATTCAGTTACTATTATTTGAAGAATGAAGCAAGTAAATATCAAATTAACAAGATATATGATTTTGTAGCCCAAATTATTATTAAAGTCATGCAATGTCTAAATCATGAAAACAAATTCCTTCTTTTACATTCAAACTTAAGTTCTTAAATGTAAGGACTTTTTTTATTTTTATTCTATTGTTTATGCTATTACAGCTGTCCCCACTTTTTCTCCCTTTGCCCACCTCCACCCAGCTTAAACATAAGACTTAAAAGGTTCTTCAAGGAGAGAGAATATGTAAGTGTACACTTGTCCAGTTTTCTTTTAAATGAAATGTATATGGAGCCTATCAGTTGCAAGAATAAAAATACTATAGCATACTTCCTAATGTAAGGCAAGAGGGTGGGCTTTTTATTCCTATGTTGATGAGAAGGCCATTTCTCGTGAGAGAAATGAAGATTGCAGAAAAAATGTTAAGCTGTAGACTTTCAAGTTGATCGTCAACATGGCGCACTGAATGAAGCAGCCGTGTCCGTGGATTTTTGGGGGGATGGAGGGTGGGCGTTCCATGGGGCACTAGCGCTCGCCGCCCCGCTTCCCCGCGGCCCGGTCTTTACAGAGCTCAGCTGGCCGGACAGAGAGGCCGGCTACGGGCGACTGCCAGCCAGGGTACCGCGCACGGTCTTTGGGAGCCCCAGCCCCTCCCAGCCGGGTGAGCTCAGCCCCACGCGGCAGGGAACGCTTCTTGCTCAACAGCGCCCTCTCCCGGCAAAGCGGAGAATTCCTCGGCTCCGGAGCCCTGCTGGGCATTTCCGGAGAAATTTTAGGGAAAGCATCAAGGCCTTGCCCTGAATGGAGTCACCCTCACCCACTGGTGCCCCTAAGTCCCCTTGGGAGCTGTCTCCCAACCCTGCCTGGGGACAGTGAACGACAGCCTAAAGCTTTGTTGACCTCTGTTCCATTTCCCTCCTGGCTACTTGCCAAGGAGGCGATTTCCCGGAAGGAAATGTCAGGGCCTGTGTTCTCCCGACCCCACCCTCCCGTCCTCCGGGCCCCTCCTTCATTTCCAGCAGAGTCCGAGGCCTGTGTGTCCCTCCCCATTAGATTTAAAACGCGCGGACGGAGGGCCTGTGGCGGACTCACCGGCCGAGCACTGAATCCCTCCCAGTGCCCTGGATGCCCCCAGCCACAGGAAGAGGGAGACGGGCCTTTGGAGTCCTGCCAGGGTGTTTAAACCGTCCCTAAAGTCTCTGCTGATACTAACAAGTGCAGGCCACTGAGATTTTGTTTTTTTAAATTTCAGGATGTGACTTCAGAGGCTCCTTGACTGTGTGTGTGTTTGTATGTGTTTGTCTTTACAGCTTGAACCTGGGGGTGACCCACACACTTCCGGATCAAAGGGGGCCTTTGGGTTTCAGCACCCTGTAAGGTAATGCAACCTCACAGTAAGAAATACAGGATTTCCTTTTAGTGGAAGCATTAATACACCTTAGCTCCTTCTACTGCAGATGTTTTCAACAGAGTGCAAAGTAATTCAGTGTTCTCCAATGTTACTTAGTTACTATCATCCCAAGGAACTTCAAGGATATTTTGTGAGATTTCTTTTTTTTTTTTTTTTAAGAAGATACTAGCGAATGTCTTTTTTTTAAATGTTCTTACAGTTGTTCCTATTTTTCTCCCTTTCCCCACCTCCACTCAACCCTATCTTGTCGCCTCCCTCAGTCAATCCCCACACCTATGTCCATGGGTCATGCTTTTGCGAGATTTCTGGAATCTGTTCCTTTATTCATTCAGTCTGTGTTTCAGCTGCGAGTTGGATTTGGCCTGTCTTTTCTTCATACCTTTTCTTTAATATCTCTTATTACATATTATGCCTCGTGCTACGTTAATGGGCTGTGAGTTGTCTAAGCATACCTATTCATTTACTTAGCTGCTCAGGTGCACTTCCATTTCTCTCCCAGGATACGCTGGGTATTGTCTAGTGGCGGGGGTGTCCCACCTGCGGCCCACGGACTGCATGCAGCCCAGGATGGCTGTGAACATGGCCCGACACAAAATCGTAAATTTACTTAAAACATTATGAGAATTTTTTGTGATTATGTGTCACAATGTATTTAATATGTGGCCCAAGACGACGCTTCTTCTTCCAGTGTGGCCCAGAGGTGCCCAAAGGTTGGACACCCCTGCAAGTAGACCTTGGAAGCAGACATGCTGCCTGAGCGAGGGATGGAAGGGTACTCCCCCAGCTGTCCTCTGCTCGCTCTCGGCAGGGGCCCCGCACTTCCGTGTCCCTCTTACTTCAGGCCTTGGCAGCAGGTGGCTGATGCTCCAGGTTCCTATCTATTTCTCTGTCTCCAGTTCTGTCTGCCACTTTCTTCACCAAAATAAACGTAGTCCGTACTCCAACTTCTCACTGGAGTATTTTTACCCTGCTTAACCTGGCAGACTAGAAGCTTTGATCAAACCCATGGATACTAACTGCTAAAGGTGAAACCTAGAGCCCTCAGACTGGTCACAGAGTGACTTTTGGACAAGGGAAGCTTTCCTAGGGTCCTCTCTGTCAGTGGCCTTTGATTCTCACGGCATCACTGCGGAAGCCTTAAAAACACAGACCCTGGGGGCCTCTCCGGGGAGTCTGGCTGCCTTGGCCTGGCAGGGCGGGCTGGGGGGAGGCCCCGCCCTCTCGAGCCCTGCGCGCATTTTCCTGCATCACCTGGCACGGCCTGCCTCCCGCAGATGCCCTGCTACTGCTCCCCAGTTTCAGGTTCGGGCAAAACGCAGTGACTGGTGAGGCCGGCATTGCAAACTGAGAAAAAAAAGTCTTATTATGGAAACTTTCAAGCCTACACCAAAGTGGAGAGAAGAGCGCCCAGCACCAACCAGCCTCGACAATCATCAGGTCCTTCCGGTCTAATCGCACTTGTCACCCTCTCCCAACTCTGTTTTTAATTGTTGGGAGAATATTTTAAAGCACACTCCACACATCCTAGAAATTCAAATTCACCTGTAAGTACAGTAGCCTCCCCTTACCTGCAGCTTCACTTTCTGAGGTTTCGGTTTACGCTGCAGTAGACAACTTACAACTTTTAAATTGCACGTGCTCCCAAGAGTCATGATGAAATCCCGCCTCCTCCACTTCCTCCGCCTGGGACGTGAGTCATCCCGTTGTCCAGGGGCCCCACGCTGCGGACGCGTCCCGACTACTAGTCACTTAGGAGCCCCCTCGGTCATCAGGTCGACTCTCAGGGCGCCCCAGTGCTTGTGCTCAGGCAACCCTCATTTTATCCAATAATGGCCCCGAAGCCATAACTTTTATTACAGTTTATTGTTATTTGTTTGTTTTTAATTTTTATTTATTGATTTCAGAGGGAGAGAAAGCATATCAATTTGTTGTTCCACTTATTGACGCACTCATTGGTGCACATGCCCTGACCTGGGATTTAACCTGCAACCTTGGCACATTGGGACGACGCTCTAACCAACTGAGCTACTCTGCTAGGGCCAATGTATTGTTATAATTATTCGATTTTATTATTAGTTATTGTTAACCTCGTCTTCTGCCTAATTTATAAATTAAATGTCACCGTAGGTATGTGTGTATATATAGGAAGAAAACATAGTATGTATAGAGTGCGGTATTATCCCACGGCTTCAGGAACCCACTGAGGCGGGTCCTTGGAACGTGTCCACCAAGGATAAAGGCGGACTACTGGACTCCAGCATAACACTAAGTTTTAACGTGGCCAAACTCTACACTATGCTTCTATTACTGCCACAGGTATATAGTCTTTTTTTCTGTCTGTTGCAGAGTTTCACAGCTACTGACACTTTTTTAGGACTGGATCATTCTTTGTCGTTAGAGGTTCGAGGCTGTCCTGGGCATTGTAGATTGTGTAGCACCACCCCTGGCCTCTACCCACCACATGCCAGTAGCTTCTCAGTTGTGGCAACAACACAAAACGTCTCCAGACATTGCCACATGTGCTCTTGAGGGCAGGAAGCACCAGTCCGTTGGAAATTTTAAGTTTGAAACTGTCATGCATTATTTATAGCAAGGTGCTTTCTCTCTCCCTTTTTCTCCTCCTTCTGAGAAGGGGGACTTGAAATCAGCTTTGCAAATAAGCAGTGATCAATTGATAATCCCTCTCAGTTCCTCAGAAGGCCACAGGGGGAAATGCAAACAGATTCATAGAAGATTCAAGGACAAGAGATTAGGGAGAGAGTAAGGGGTATTTTACACACTTTTTGTGTATAACTAGACTCCTAAATTTACAAAACCTGGATTTAGAGGTTCCAAATGTATATATTTCTTGTCTTTTTAAAACATATACAAATATATTTATATTATCAAAAGGTCTGCCAGGTGGGGTCTGTCTTTCTCCTTTTCCCTTCCCCTTTCACCTTCTCGCTCTCTCTTCCCACCGGACAAATAGCCACGGCTGCCATTTTCTCTTCCCCACAAGCCAGGGACCCACGCGTGCAGCTTCTCTATGGCAACGTGCGGAAGGATTCGCTGCTTCTCTTTGGGACCAGGGTTGCAGGGTTAAGGTTGCTCTGGAGGGCAAAGGGCCACAGCGTTCCCCGAGCTTGCGGGCCTCACTAAACAGGACCGGGCTGAGTGGGGTCCCCCTAACTCTTAATCTTGGAGCTCGGCGTTTCCGCTTCCTTTTACCTTCAGGGAAGCACGCCCTTTGCCTTGTGTTGATTTGCTCACCCAGATCGTTGCTCGTTTCCAAACTAGCGCGGGACCCCTCATCGGGGCCCCAGCGTCTGCCCGCAGTCGTGTCCTGGTGACTCGATACAAAACACTGTGCAGCGAAGGCAGAACTAGAGCAAGGTTGGCTGCTGCGAGGGGGAAAGGTCGTCTAGGTGGCGTTGAGGACAGTTTCAAGTTGATTAATGCTGGGTTTGTTTCTTAACTGTTAGACTTTATTTGCCCATTTCCAAGCGCCAAGAATACCTGCGCAGTGCCGGCGAGACGGTGCTGGCCAGCTTCCCCGTGCAAGCCACGATTCACTTCTACGACGACGCGTCCGACTCGGAGGACGCCGAGCCCGAGGGAGGCCCCCAGCCGCTTCCCCGGGAGGCGGGCGGCCCCGCGGAGGACACGGCCCCCGGGGACGCAGACCGGGCAGAGACCGGCTGACGCGCCCAGTGCAGAGGCCTGCAAGACACGGCGACCCTCGGGCGGGCGCCGAGAGCTCCTCCTGCAAATGGATTGGGTCTCCTAGGCCACCCCTGCGTCATTCGCCCTCTTGGGGACAGCTGTGCATGGACACTTTGCTTTTGCCCCGGTCATGCCGGGCTCAGGGCGGCCTTGACTTTGGCCTTGGTCTTGGCCTTGGCCGTCGCTGGCCAGTGCTCCACGAGTGTTGAGAACTCACAGCTTCCACTTTTCCTTGGGGTGACTCTTCCCTGGGCACCCATGCGGACCACGGGGGAGAATTCCCGGACCGAGAGGAGGTTTGCGTCAACATCGGCTCTTAGCGGGCAGGGCCGACCTCCACCCAAAGCGAGCCGCGCGGCCGCTCGGCGGTCGCACGGCCGAGGCCCCACGTGAGATCACGAACTGCCCAGCCCCTCACTCACCCTGAGGCCCATTCGGTCGTTCTTTCTGCTTTTGTGAAAAGGATACTGTTCAAATGTGGGTGTGGTTGGGTAGTGGCATTCTGAAAAAAAATTATTTATGAGTAATATACGACAATAATTCCTGTAAGGATAACAAATAAAGAGGTGGATTTTGGGGAGACAGTTCTGGATACAAATGTTCATGATTGTTGTGTGAGGACTATGAGTATGAATAGGGAGAGAGAAGAGCTTTGATTCTGAGTTGGGGACGACTTTGGGCTTCTTACTTGAATAGAACAACACTGTCTTCAAAGTATCGAATGTAAAATTATTTCCACTTTTTTATATTTGAATGACCGCATGAGTATATTCCTCAAAGTGTTTTACTTAACTTTCTTATGTGTGGTTGTCTTCCTATACACAGTACATCATATGTTTTTACTTGAAATATATATTTTGAAAAAAAAAATAAAGTTTGAAAATCACCTTTTTTGTTTCAGACATTTCTAGATTTAAGTAGTTCCTACATTAAAGTTGTTAAAAGTTTATCAGGATGTTTTTCTATTTAACTCTTTAAATGATATTTATTATTTTTAAGAATGCAGAAACAAGCACAAAAAAAGAGCAAAATGTTCTCTAACCCCAATGCTCAAAGAATCCATTAATATTAAAAAATAGGAGGAATACATACAGATATTTTAACAATCCAAACAGTATAGAAAAATCTATATTGCAAAGTAAATGTCACCCTCTCTTGTCCTCCCCTTTCTTGTCCAAAGGTAGCTAACATCAATTATTACTGCTCTACCTTTTTAAAAAATTACTTTTTTTGTCTTTTTAACCATTTTTTGGTTATTTTTGGTTTCTTTCAATCGTTTAAAGTAGGTATTTTATTTTATTGTTTCTTTTACTTGTTTAAAGCACTTTTTTTTCAAACTTAAAAACGATTTCACCTGGATTTATTTCAAAAAGGATTTAAAATGGCTTCCTACTTTGAGTTTTAACAGAAAAATCCTGGAAGCTTAGTCTGACTCTTCTTTCCTGTGATGCTGGGGTGAAGCCGAAGTCATCACATTTGCCTTTGTTTCGGCGTCTTAATAAATCAGTTTTAATGAGAAAAAAGACCTGGCCCGATCAGCCGGACTAAGAAATCAAATCTAGTCCACGTGCTGACGGCACCGGGATTTTCAGGGTGCTGCGCGGTGCGCGTTCCTTCAGTTGTTTGCAATTTGGCCAGTTCAGTGCGAAGAAGGAAAATGGGACCCTTTGGGATGGCCAGGGACAGAATCACAGGCCCCCCGTGGCGCGGAGAGACCGCCTGGCATTAGGGAGGGAGACAACGGGCTCAGGACTCCCCCACCCGCGGGTTTGGTGGATGCTGGGCGACCCGGACAGGCCCAAGCCTGCAGGAGCCCCGCGCGGGTGACCGATCGCGCTCACCATCAGCACAGCTGGGCTGCGCCCTATCGTAGATGCGCCTCCCGTTCAACCGTTTGAAGTCGGCGGTTCTCTGCCCTTCTGACCTAGACAGGTGGCGGCTGCACATGGTTGACCTAACACGTTATGCACATAATAAAATATACACATGTTGCAGACTTTCGAGGATAACGCAACTGTCATATAGTCATCTTAAACATAATTTTAATAGGTTTACAAGCCTTTTGCTCTCAGTAAATATATGTGTAATTTAATAATATTGAGGCTGTCTCACAGAGATATTCAAATAAACACATGGTCCCCTTGCTAAGCCACGATGTTTGTTTTCATCCACCAACTTTGCAAGAGTTTTTATGGAAATTTGTTGAGTAAATTTCTGTCTCCCTTGATGTCAATTTGTTGTTTTTTGAACCAACTGGGAGATGCTGCATTTTGTATTTTTATTTGGCTATATAATATATTTGTTTTAGCCAAAGGATTTAAAACTGCACTGGAACTTCTCAGAGGATTTGTAAATGTTTCAATGTTTTGCTTTTTGTTTTAAGGTGGGGTTGTTTTTTTTTAAGGTAACTTCAATGTCAGTAATAAAAGTCACCTAACGATAGAAACAACCCCAAACGTGCATTTTCACAAGGCTCTTCGTAGTATGAGTTTCTTTTGATCCAATGCTTACCGTTTCACTCATTTTTAAGTATTTCATCTTTGCATCGAAGAAACAAAGTGGGGGCCCCGATTGGGTCGCTAAGTTGGTCGGAGTGTCCTCCTGTGCAACAAAAGGTTGTGGGTTTGATCCCCAGTCGGGGCTCGCACAGAAGACAACCGATTGATGTCTTTTCTCCCTCCCACACTTCCTCTCTAAAAGCTATAAACATATCCTCAGGTCAAGATTAAAAATTAAAAAAAAATTTTTTATAGAAGGTGTTTATTTTTTTGGTGTGTATCTTTTAAAAATACTTGCTAACTGGTACATTTCTAACACTTATCTCTGAAAAGGGCCAGAAGAATATAATAATAACTATTGAGTCTGACACTCCTCAGTAGTTTGCAAAAAGGGAGCTGGCTAAGTTCTGTTTAGTTCAAAAGACTGTCGTGGTCACTCCCCATGAGATGACAAAGGCTTGCAAAAGTCCCCTGTTTTAAAGGTCTTATTTTTATAAAATTATGCACATTGTCTAACTGTGTTAAGGGTCTGGTGGATTGTGTCCATCCTACAAACACACAGAGGGCAGAGAGAGAAAATTGATCTTTGAAAGGCTCGTTTCGTTTTCCTGTAACATGGGCTTTGCAAACCTGGGACTTGCTCTTTAAAAGCCTGACCTCTGGCAACGTCTGCCTGTGACCCCACGCGGAGCCTGGCAGGGGGACCTAAGCAGTGGCCGCCGCGTCCCCGGACCTTCTGCTCTTCAGCTCTCCACCGCCTCCGCCATTCTGGGATGCCGCACCTCTGGCTTCACTCACTTACTAGAAAAGAACAAAAGGAACTTTGACAGTATTCTCTAAAACCTGCATTTCTCCTTCAATTTATTTGCTACATTTTATTAGGCAAGTAGTTTGCCTAATAACGATTCAGTAAATGGATTTCACATGAGGTGCTATCGTTATACCTTTCCTCCAGAATCTAAATTTCTTACTAAAGCAGCCACCTCCACAATGGTTACACTTAGCCAGGTTTTCATAAATGCGTCATTTTGAATAAGTCCTTTATGATTGAAGCCGACTTCTTCTAGGGGTTCACAAAAAGGAGCTCCTAGTGAATTTGATTGTTGAAACAGAGTCTTGCAAATACCACAAGCTGGGACATGTTAGGAACATGGCTACTTTCATCCAGCGGCGTAGCAAATCTCCCACAGCGTGAATTTGTTGTAGTGTTTGTTTTTTCAACTCTTCTATTTTCACTGAGTCTTCCAACAGATTTGCAAGAAAAAGAATGCATTTCCATTTGTTGTCATATTGTTTCCTGTTTGCTATTTTAACCTGTTTTACTGCTGGGAAGAAAATGTGTTTCCCAGTGGTACGTTTCTTTTGAACTTCTTAATTAAACAAGAAATTGCAAAAAAAAAAAAAAAAAAAAAAAAATCCACTAAATATTCAACATCAAACTTGGTGAAATTTTATAAATGAGATTAGTTGCCGACAGAAGTAGACTTTCTGTCTACCTGCAGTTTCCTATTCTGGATATTTTTCTGTCTACCTGCATTCTCCTGCTCTGGATATTTCATACAGATAGAATTACACAACACGCAGCCTTTTGTGTCTGACTTCTTTTACATGGCATAGTGTCTCCAGGTTCACCCACATCGTGTCATGTATCAGTGTATTTCACTGTACGGAGAAACCGCAAGGTATGAAAACAGCGCTCAGGTCCAACACAACACAGCCACGTCCTAGGATGTCCCCTGTGCTCCCTGCCAGTCACCGCCTTCCGGCACTGAAGTTTCTATTTGTCTGGTTTTGAGCTTGAAACCAATGGGATCGTAGGGCGCGTGCTCTATTGGGTCTGGCTTCTGGCTGTAATGTTTGATGGCGAGACTCACTCACACCGTGTGCAGGGGCAGACAGCTCGTTCTCACGGCCGAATAGAACCCCACTGTGTGAGTGCGCTGCCGTTCCTTCATCCCTTCTATGGGGGATGCTTTGTTTCCAGTTTGAAGCTTTCAGGAATAATACCTTTGACCTTTCCCCTACACGCCTATTGGTGGACAGACGGGCCCATTTCCATTATGCATATGTCTGGGAATGAAGCAAAAGCACCAATTTTATGAGTCCACCCTGAGTCTGGTACCCTCCAGCCAGAAAACGATTTCAGAACTGGAGAGAGGGGGTCATAGACCATGATGCTCTAGAGGGAGAGAACGGAGTTATCGACGAGACCATCCCTGTCTTTGAGGTCTTTAAAGATGGGCCAGAGCTCAGAGGCGCTGTGAGTGCCCACGGTCGGCGGAATCTTCCTTCTTCCTGAATTGGGACTTTGTAATGGGATCTAGGGGCTTCCTTCTTTAGGGAATGGATGTGAAATGAGACCTGGGATAGTCAGTCCCCTAGGATCCTGGAGAAGAAAGTCTCGGAACTCTTCAGACTCCGAGAGGTTTTCAGAAACTTAATGAGGTTTCAGTCAAGCTTTGGAACTCATCTCATCTTGCT